TCACTCTGTAGACCAGGCTGGCCTCGAACTCACAGAGATCCACCTGGCTCTGCCTCCCGAGTGCTGGGATTAAAGGCGTGCGCCACCACCGCCCGGCTTTTTTTTTTTTTTTAAGTATTCATTTGTATGTTTCTGTGTGAGTGTATGGGCATGTGAGTATACAGGTACACACCTGTGTGAGTATACAGGTACACACCTGTGTGAGTATACAGGTACACACCTGTGTGAGTATACAGGTACACACCTGCCATGCATTCAGGAAGGTCAGAAGACGGCACTGGAGTCCTCCTCTTTCACTCTCCGCCTATTCCTTTGAGGCAGGGTCTCTCCCTGATCCTGGGGCTCACAGTCAGGTAGGCTGGGAGCCACCAAGTCCCGGTGGTTCCCCTGTCTCTGGCCCCTCTGAGCGCGGGTTACAGGCTTTTGTGGCGGAGCCTGGCCTGTGATGTGGCTGTCATGATCGCAGAGCAAGGGCTGGGAACTGCTGAGTCAGCGTGCTGGCTCTTTGGTTTTGTTTTCTTTGAGTTCAGTATACGTTCTACACATTAAGCCGTGGCAGCTATGTAGTCAGCGAAGGTTGTCTCCTGTTCTCTGTATCCATCAGCTGGTTCGTTGGCTGAACAGAGCTTTTTAATTTCATGAGTTGACTGTTGGCCTTATTTCCAGAGTGACTGACTAGGTCCTCTTCAGGGAGTCAGCACCTATGCCCGTGTCTTTGAGTGTTTTTTCTACCTTCTCCTCAGTTTCTGACTTGTAGGTCTTATGTGAAGGTCTTTAATCTAGAGGTTTTTTTTTTTTTTTTTTTTTTTTTTTTAATTGGGCAAAGTGAAAGGTAAGGATCTAGTTTGACTCTTCTACGTATAAATATCCTGTTTCCCCAGCACCACCTTTAAAGATGCTGCTGTCTTTCTTCGGTGTGTGTTTGTCAAATATCAAGCACCTGTAGCTGAGTGGGTTAATATCTGGGCTTTAGTCGATTCTGTTGATATATGTGTCTAATTTTGTGCCAGTATCATGATGTTTTTATTTGTTTGTTTTTTGGTTTTTCGAAACAGGGTTTCTCTATGTAGACCTGGCTGTCCTGGAACTCGCTCTATAGACCAGGTTGGCTTCAGACTCACAGAGATCCACCTGCCTCTGCCTCCCAAGTGCTGGGATTAAAGGCATGGGCCGCAGCCGCCGCCACCGCCACCACCTGGCTCTTTTTTTTTTTTTTTTTTTTAATTTTTGAGAAAGGGTCTCATTGTGTATTCCTAGGAGGCCTGGGACTTGCTTTGTAAACCAGGTTTGGGCTGTCATACCTATAGTCTAAATAACACCGTATTTTATGTTTGTCTCACCCACCACCAGTATCTAAAAGCCCCAAAGGATGTAAGTTATTTATTCTTCCAAGTGTCTCTGCCAGTGCCTGGCACCTAGTAGCAACTGTGGCATGGATATCGGCACGGATGAGTTTTTCTGTGTGTCTTCCAGAGTGCTGGCATTTGCCTGGCTTCTGAAAACTGGCCATGGTGTTTTATGCTTGTAACCCCAGCTCTTGGGAGGTGAGACGGAAGGATCATTGCAAGGTCCAGGCCCGATTGGGCTACAGAGTGAGAACCTGTCTCATAAAACAAAAATTAGGCATGGTAGCACATGCCTGTAACCCCAGTTTGTAACCCCACATTTGGGAGCCTGCCACAGGAGGACTGTTATGCCTTTGAGTCCATCTTGGGCTACAGAGTGAGAGCTAGGCTCCCAAAGAAACAAGCGATAAACAGAGCTGGGAATTCAGCCCCTAGCAGCAGAAACAAAACAAAATAAAACTCTCACTTCGCTGAGAGTTCTGTGTTAACACAGCACTCTGAGGCATCATGCAGTGTAACTGAGCGTCTAAGGCGTGGGTCGCTATCCTAACACTCGGTGAGGGCTCACTGGGGCCGGGAACTAGCGTGCGCCACCGCACCTACCTAGTTTCAATTCCTAAACATGCTCCTTTAAGACACAAAGCTTGCCAAAGCCCCTAGTGTAGGTGGGCCCTTATTCCCAGTTACTTGGAAGGCTGAGGCCAGAGGATCACAATTTCAAGGCCCAAACTTAATGAGAGTCTGTCTCGAATTTAAAAGTATATAAAACGCTTACACTTACTCGGTGAGTGTGAGACCCTAGGTTTAATCTCCAGCACTGCAAATACAAACTGTATTTGCAGTTTGTATACAGCAATCCTGCGAGGTGGTTCTATCATTACCACTCCTTCTATCCTCCAATTATTATTATTTTTTTTTTAGGAACTGCTACCTAGCAGCGGCGAGGGACTGGTCCCCAAGGAGGCTGTCGACTCAAGGGCACGGCTCTGCCTGCGGGCGGCTCTGATGTAGCGCCCCCTCCTGGCCGTTGCTCTGGGTGGCTGAGGTCGGTGACGAGGTTGCTCGCGGCCGACACACCAGGGGGCGCAAGCAATTCAGCTTTTGGGAACAGGGTGAGGCTGCCAGCCCCGAGGAGCCCGCCAGAGCCCGGGAGTGGCGTCGGAATCAGCGTCCTCCAATCCAGACGAGTAAACTCGTCCTCCCTGCCCTGCAACTCTGATGGACAAGGAAATATAACCTACCGAGTGAGTAACTGCTGTGTGCTAGGCAGAAAAGCCCCACGGGAAAGAGTGCAAGCTACCCTACTCATGCCACGATAAGCTAGCCCAGGCTGTCACTTACCAGGCTCCCACGGAGAATGAGAACACTGTTGCTCTCAATGTCCCTTTTGGTCCAAATTCCTTTTGCCCCCCTTTGCTGTATACAGTATAGCTATGGATTGGCCCTGCAAACCAAGATCCCTCTCCCTTCTGTTTGTAAAGTATTTACCCTTTCTTAAATTTCTAAGCCAGTGGTTCTCAACCTTTCTAATAGATCATGTTGTGGTGACCCCCAACCATAAAATTACTTTTGTTGCTACTTCATAACTGCGGTTTTGCTACTGTTCTGAATCGTAATGTAAAGCTTTTGGAGACAGAGGTTTGTCGAGGGGGTAGTGACCCACAGGTTGAGAACAACCTCCAAGTCTTCTGATCCTGCTCCCCTTCCTCTATGACTCTTGGACAGCCCCCACCCCGACCTATCTGAGACACCTACTGCGTCTTGACCTGGGTTACTTTGAGATGTCACTTCTGTGACACTAACAACCCACTACTAAAATGTAAATTGTAGCTCTTAGCATTTAATAACCACGTGCTAAATAATCGAGAGGCAGACACAAAGTGGTGTGTGTGTGTGTGTGTGTGTGTGTGTGTGTGTGTGTGTGTGTGTGTTTCTAGCTCTAGCTCAGGGCTACACAAGAGCCAGTAACAGCACACACCTGGGTTTCATCTGTATTTATTTACTTTAGACAGTATCTTGCTATGTAGCCCAGGCTGACCTTCAACTTGGGATCACAGACATATTCCAGCATACCAACACATCCCTACTGGATATGCAAATGAGGATGCACTAATGTACCCTTTCTGTTTTGTTCTGTGTCCTGTAGGTCTACAGTCTGTGGGATTGCCCACTCCCAGCGAGCAAGCGTAAGGAATGTGGGCTGGTGTGGGTGCTGGGGGAACGTGAGGAGGCCAGGGGCAGGGAGCAGAGTTTTCCCATGGTGAGAATAAGGCCCACATAGAGGATGAGGGAGGGAGTGATGCCAAGATCTGAGTTATAGCAGAAGGAAGCTGAGCCCTGAATGGGAGCCTTGTGTGTGGCCCTGTGGTGCTGACTCACCAGGCTGAGGAGAGCGAAAACATGCTAGGGATGAAGAAGGGCCTGTGTGTGCCCTGCCACCACCTCCAAACCACCCTGCCACCCCAGGTCCCCTTTGGTCAGGGGCTTCCTGAGGACACCATCTGCTCTGAGGTACAAACAGTCCTGGAAGGCTGTGAGAGAGATGGGACAGGCAGGGGAGAGGGAGGGAGCACACAACGGTATTAGGGGATGGGGGTGAATGCAAAAGGCTGTCTGAGGGAAAGCTTCAGACCGAGTTCAGAGGGAGAAAGGGGGCCAGGAGGTGTCTCTTCCTTCCGCACAGGGAGGTGTGGCAACTCAGAGACTGAGCAGGGAGGGGGACAGATGCTTACAGTCTCTGTGGCTTCCTGGCTCCCCCGAGGAGCAAGCCTGCCTTGTGAGTAAGTACTTCCCAGGCCTGAGGCCAGACAGAGAGGCCCAGCCCGGGAGCCAAAGCCGTACCATGCTTCTCATTCCTACCCTCCCTTGGCTGTCAAACCTGTTCGGAGACAGGAGGACAGGATTCTTGTGGCAATCTGGGTGGTGGGCAGCCTGAGGCTGAGGCAGCCCTGGTAAGCAAGATCAAGGCCAAGCATTGTGGAGAAGCAGGGGAGACGGGAGAGGGAGGTCTTTAGGGAGTAGCTAGAGCCAGGCTGGGGAACTGATGGTTCCCAGGTCAGCCCAAAGCTGAGGCAGAAGTGGGGGGCGGGGGGCGGGGGGTGGGGACTGCAGACTGTGTGGGCGCTGCCATGGACTGGCTGTGTGCACCTGACCTTTCTAGGACTCATTCCCATTTTTCATACAAGAGACCTACAACAGAGGTTCCTAAGTCTCTCTCCTGATTCCACTGAGTGGACAAATTGCCCTTGCCTTTCTCCTCATCAAAACCCAATTTTCTTGTGTCCTGTTCTCAGCTGGAGAGCTTACAAGAAAAAGAGCCATGGACTCAGACTTCAGAATATGACCAACAATCAGCAATGTCCTAACTCCCCACATACATCGCTGATTTTGCATGTTTCTTGATGCTGGGGATTTACTATCCCAGGGATTTCTTAAAGCTGAATGTGTTCTATCTTCGAGTTTCAGCCCTCTGACCTCTTTGGAAACGGTGGTGTGGCCAGTGGAAGGAAGGTAGCCTTGAAAACCAAATGGGTATGGGTTTGCATCCCACTGTAGGGATACGGATGCAGCTCAGGGGTGGAACAAGCACCTAGCATGTTGGTCCCTGGCACCACCCAGCACAACACAGCACTCAGCACGCAATGGTTAGTGATTCTCAACCAGGAGTAATTCCACCCCCCACACCCACGCCCAAGACCTTGACTTGCAGCTGTGACTTTCCATCTCAGCCCGGCTCTGCTGGAGGACCTCTGGGCAATTAATTTGTTTCTTGGTCACTCTATCTGTTAGGTAGGGTGATCCCTTTCATTAGCTACATAGATTAAAGGAAGTCACATGGTGGGCTACTCCACAAACATTCTCAAAACTGTGTTCCCTGCCTGACAGGCTTAATCGGGACCAGAAGGAAGATCGTGGGCTTGGCTAGAGATTAGCTGAGATTATCTGGTTGGAGGCTAACCACATCCAGGAAGTGGAAAGGGAAGTGGAGCAGGGTGGCTAGAGGGAGAAGAGGAGGTGCTCTGTAATGTACCAGAAAGGCCACAGCCTCGTGTGTCTTCCACGGTTGCACTGTTTATTGGCTTTTGAATGTGCACGAAGTATAGACTCCAGCGCCTCATAGATGCCAGGCCAAGCACTTTACCACCGAGCTATCTATGCCCCCAGCCCTCATGTGGCTTTAAAGCTACGACGACCCTTCTGAGTTCTCCCTATTTGGGACCAGGAGACAATGGTAAATGTGGTCCCATCACTTGGGGAGCTGAAGCAGGGGGATGGCTAGTTTGAGTAGAGTATGCATGTGTATACGGTATGAATGTACAGAGATTACACACACACACACACACACACACACACACACACACACACACACACACACACACACACACAGTCTTTGGAATGACCTGGGTGTAAGAGAAAAGACCTTGGTCATTTTTGTTTTTTGTTTTGTTTTCCTTCCCTAGTAAATGCATCTCTTATGAGGGGCAACAGCCAAGCCAACGTTCCCTGTACTTAGGCACCGGGGTAGGATATTACACTTATTCATCACATCGAGTTAGTACAGCTCCAAGCCCAGCCTGCCAGACTCAGTAGGTGGCTCCCCAGGGTGAGGCCTATCTTAAACATTTCAAGAGGCTGCTGAGCTGGCTCAGCACTTAAGAATGCTCGCCACTCTTTCAGGTGGCTCACAATGACCTGTATCTCCAGCTCCAGGGGACCCAACTCCCTCTATGGGCACCCTCACAGCTTCCCGCCCGTTCCAGTCTCATCGATGTGGACAGTGGCACAGAAGGGCAGGCTTCACTTTTCTGTCTTCCGAGCCACTTGCAAGGTCCCAAGAGGGCCCATTTGATTCTTTACAAAGTCCGTTTTTCATTGCTCTTCTTTTGCTTAGAGATTTAGAGAGTAAGGAGAGGAATGGGCAAAGAGAACACTTCTGGGCGATGTAGTTTTGCAAACCACAGCCCTTTCTCACCCTACCTTTTGCACAATCCCAACAAATCACTGTGGACTTGAGTCTCTTAAACCAGTCCCAACCCTTGCAGAAACGACACAGATGCCTGCCATTCTTCCTCAAGTGAGACTGGGCTCTTGGGGCCTTTTACCACCATCGGTTCTCATCCTTGGATCAAGGCAGTGAAACCAAAACCAAACTCGAGGAGACAGGCAGAACCCCAGTCCACTGCTCTGGAGACAGGAGACACTGCTGGTCTCCTAGTTACCCCCCCAACCACAGAGTGTTGCTAGAGGACCGCACTAGAGGGAAGCCCTCCTACGGCACTAACAGTAACCATAAGCCTTGTATCTTTTCTGTTAAAGGCAGATGATCACCCTGTAGTCCAAACTGGCCTAGAACTCAAGATCCTCTTAGAATCAAGTCAATTTTGTGCGTGTTTCTTTCAGCTAAATCTAGAGTACCCTGAGGGCGGGTAACAGGTTTAAACTTGTGTCTTTAATAGCTACCTTGGTTTCTGGCTCTCCTTGGATCCTTAAGAAGCCTGTTGTCTGAGGGGAGTTAATTAAGGCCTTTGTTTTTGTTTCCTTTATCTGGAAGTCTGCAGGCGCTGGCTAGGTCTGATAAGACACTAGAGTGGAGCCCAGCAAGGTTTTCTGACCTTGCTCACTCTGAATCACCCAGTTAGAGTCCCATCCTGGCCGACTTAATCAGGAGGGAGGCACCTGGGAAAATGTCCGTTTCTTTTGTGATGAGGGTGATGGTTGGATTTTGCTGAGACAGAATCTGCCATGTACTCCACACCAGCTTTGAATTTGTGGCAATCCTCCTGCCCCAGTAAGGATAACAACAGGTCACCACACCCTCACTTAGGAAGCAGGTACTTCAGGAGCAAAACATTTTGATAACTATTACAAGTGGCTGTTTTGGACTAGGTTCCTCAACCAGGTCCCAAGAGCCCAGATTAGTATCTAAAGCACTCACATTGCAGCTCACCATCAGGCTAACCTTATCTGACCTCCAGGGAAGCCGAGAGAGCAGCCCCAGCCTCCCGTGTGTCTGAGCCTATGGGTCTGGCTCTCGGCCTCAGGCAGATTGGATTTTGTTTTGCCTTAGTCCCCCTTACGAGGAAAGTAACTTCGAAATGACCAGACTACTCCTTGTCCCTCTCAACTCTGTAAGCCCCAGTCTTTGCTCGGTTCACTCC